CTAGAAAATAGGGTTTAGGGTTTAGGGCCTAGTAAGTAGGGTTTAGGGTTTAGGGTTTAGGGTTTAGGGCTCTATAAGGGTTGAGGGTTTAGGGTTTCAGGTTTAGGGCTTAGGGTTAAGGGTTTAGGGTTAAGGGTTTAGGGTCTAAGGTTTGGGACACTGTTGAAAACGCTGGAAGGATGCGCAAGCGCCTAAGCCCTAAGCCCTACATAAACCCCTAAACTCTCAAAGCCCTGAGACATTTATAGAATCCTTCTAGGAGCCTTAAAGTAAACCCTCAACCCTAAATCCTAAACCCTGCAACCCTAAGCGCCTAAATCCTATCAATTGATCAGCCAAGCGGCGTGAAGGATGTGGTAAGTTCCTGGTAAGTCCGGTTCTGCCTTGCTTGGGTCCTGCGGCTTATAGGGTTTAGGGTTTAGGGTATATAGGGGTTTCGTGTTTAGGGTTTAGGGGTTTAGGGGTTTAGGGGTTTAGGGTTTAGGGGTTTACGGTTGCTTTAAGGAGCCTATAGAGGTTCTATGAAGGTTTTAGGGCTTCTAGGAGGTTTAGGGTCTATGTTGATTCAAAGTGCGGTTTATTGTTGTGTTCTTCAAAGTGGGGTTCGGGGTGTTAGGGTTTAGGGTTTAGGGTTTGGGGTTTGGTTGTTCATGGTTTAGGATGTGGGGGGGGGGGGAGGTGTCGGGGTTTGGTTTAGGGTTCAGGGCTTGGTGCTAGGATTTAGGGCTTCTTTTGGGTTTTCGGGTCTAGGCATCAAGCCGATTTTGCAAAGGCGTTGAGGCTATGCCAGACTTCGGGACTAAGCCGTGTAGACGAGACTCTGAAGGTAAGTCCTATCGCAAACGAGCCTAGAACCACCCCCTCCCCCCCGCGCAAACAGTGCTCACACGTTAGAGCTCTATTGTTGGGTATTTGTAGTGTCTCGGTAGTAGGCCATTTCAAAAAATAAGCGGGCTTCCGGAGGAAGCCACCCTCTGTCCTCCCACGTCTCTGCCCAGACATAGCCTGCGAGCAATGCCACCCCTAGATTCAATCCAAAACCGATTATCTAGCAGGTTTGGGTTCAGAGAGTTTAGGGTTTTGGGAAAAAAACCTGAAGACGCACCTAAAAGCCACGTGCGCGACCCATGCTGCGAAGCTGGACGCTGTCTACCCGCGAACTCCAAAACCCCAAATATGAAAGACGCTAGAAACCTTGGGGATATAACGAAAGCCTTTAGGGCTTAGGGTTTAGGGTTTGTCAACAACCTTTGCCCTCGCCCCAAACCCTAAACCCTCAACTCTGCATTCTACCCTGAACCAAGCACCCAAGACCCAGTAGCAAGGCAAACAGCCTTTTTCGTTCAAGTTTTCGGGTTTGGGAGAATTTTGGGTGCTTGACTTTGGATTCGGGAAATATTCCACCCTAACCCTGAACCCTAAACCCTAAACCCTAAACCCTGAACTAAGGGGGTATTGGGCACTCTGGGCCCTGCAGGGCGCGGCGGCCTGTGTCTGGATCCTTAGCTCACCGTAGCGACACACGGTTTAGGGTTTAGGGTTTAGGGTTTAGGTTTAGAGCTTTCCGAGCTGCAACAACGGATCTACAAGGTCTCGCAAACAGGGCTCCTTAAGTCCATAAGAGCGAAAATGAGGGTTTCATATGGGGGGGGGGGGGGGGAGGAATTTGAGCGAGCTCCGTGCCTTTAGGCTTCTGTTTTGTGTCTTACGGCTCTTTCTCGAAGCC